AAAAAAATTAAAAAAAATAACAAAAAATAAAAAAGGGAAAGGGTTGTGTGAAAGATACAAAAAAAAAAAAAAATTAAAAAAAAATAAGACAGAATGGAAAAGCTAAGTTCGATAAAAGAAAATGCCTATAATAAATAAATACGCCTAGTATGTGTGTATGTGTGCGTTTGTTAATTGTTTACTCGGCTTTAGTTTTTTTTTTTTTTTTTTTTTTAATTATTATTAACTTTTAATTAATTTCTACGCTTTCGCTAATCTACATAAGTGCTACCTCCACAATAAAAGCATTTCCATTGAGTGCCTCCCTTCTCCTCCTCATCATCCTCATCCCTTCTCGCATATTCACCTTCTTTTCCTCCTCCCTCCTCCTCCTTCTCATCCTTCTTTTTCTTCTATTTTGATAAACTTTTTTTTATGTAATATTATTTTCTTTTTTGGTAATATTAATATCACATATATATATATATGTTAATAAAAGAAATAAAATAGACGGTCGACAAAGAAACCATCTCAAATTAGTCTCAATACTTATGGTGTCATTTTATTTATTTATTTTTGTTAATCAAACATTGTTCAATCAATTTTCCTTGTGTTATCAATTATGTAATTTTTTTTTTTCTATTTATTTTATTAAAAAGAAATTATTTAATTTCATTTTATATTTTATTTCTCCTTTTGTTCGCGTGCATAAGTTGTCTGTGTACACTATGTTCGTTTTATTATTTGTGGTTTATTAAATTATAATCAAATAAATAAATTTTTGTTTGCAATAAAATGTTGACAAATTTGACGATGGTTTCTTTGTAGAAACGTTTACAAGATTCACTTTTATAGATATATTTCTTTTTTTTTTTTTTTTTTTTTTTTTTTTTATTTCATTTCATTTGATTTTTAATTAATTTTTTGTTTTGTTTTATCTCGTTTTACGTTGCGTTACACATTAACACATAAATTGTTTTTACGTTCATTTTTCTGCGTCCTATAATATTTACAATGTATGTTTTTTTTTTTTTTTTAATTTCTTGCACGTTTTACGCAATTTTTCAAGGGGCAGAAAAAAAAAATACGACACACCTACACAACACGACGTTTTTGTTTTTTTTGTTTTTTATTTGTTTATCTTCTTCTTTTTCTTGTTCTTCATTTTTCATCTTCTTCTTCTTCTTCTTCTTCTTCTTCTTAATGTTAACTAAATTCTCGTCATAAATATACGTAGCATATATTCATAATAGGCACTAGGCTAGGTTTTTTTGTTTTTTTTTTTTAAAGTCATACATAAACCTTAAAACGATTGTAAGTGTGTGTAAAATGCTATTATATATCACCTAAGATTAATTATTTTAATACATAGTTAAAGATAATAAAAAGGGGGGAGCTGTTACTTTTTTTTTTTCTTAATGTTCTTTTTTTTTTGTTGTTGTTTTTTCTTTTCTTTTCTTTTTTTTTTGTACATGTTACAATCATACATAAGAATATTTTGTTTTTAAAAACTGGAAAATACGACGAACGATGTTTGTTTGTTTGTTTTTTTTTCGAATGAAGTTGAAAAGAGTTTTTTTTTGGGGGGATTTTATATTTTATAATCCTTCACGATTTTCTGATTAATATTTTTATCTTTTTTTTTTCTTTTTTCATGTGTTTTTTGTCGAATAGAAATCAAAATAAAGAAAAAAAGAATTTCAACGAGGAATGGTGTGATGATAGACGAAAAGAGTATGAGAGAAAGAGAGATAGAGAGAGAGAGAGAGTTAGAGAAAAATCTACGAAATGCATAGAAACGAGTAAAAAAAAAAACAAAAAAGGAATAAACAAACGAATGTACAAAACAAACAAAAAAATAAAAAAATAGAAAGAATCGGAAAGAAACAACAAAAATCATAGGATACGACAAACAAACGAAATATTCGATATCAAAAGAAAAAAAAAAAGAAAAAAAATAAAAAACAAAGTAAATACGGTTGTTATTATCGTGCAAAATGAAAAATATTCTATTTCTATATTTTTTTTTGTTAGAAGAAAAGAATAAAAATGTTGAATGAAAAAGAAAAAAGAAAAAAAAAAGTAAAGTTCGAATTCTTACGACTATTTTTTTTTTATCATTTTATTATTAATAATATTATAATATATATATATATATATATATATATATAATAAATATTATTATAGTATTTTTTTTATAATAAATTTATATATAATAAAAAAATTGATAGTAAATAATACCAAATACTTTTATATAATATTTTTTTTTATAATAAATTTATATGTAATAAAATAATTGATAAAAAGTTAATGTGGATTGTATTTAGAATGAATTAAAATAACATAAAATAGAAAATAATATATTATTTCTATTAAAATAATATATCATAGGTTAATTATACGTACCTGTTTTGTGCGCACAGCAACATATTACATCGATGATCACTATGATGATGAATAGAACAGCGATAACAATACCAATTATCGCAGCACTGGATATCAAAGGACCATGATGATGTACAACTTTGGTATCTGGACCTTCAATTAGTACATAAAAAAAGAAAAACAAAACACATAATGAGTCAGGAACATTTTTCATTTATTACTTCAAATATATTTAGCAAAATATTTATATAGATTAGGCTTTTTTTTTGTTTTTTTTTTTTTAGTTAGTGCAAAAGCTCAAATTTCGCGAAAATGTTTGGTGACGATTTTGAACAACATATTTAATTTAATTTCATTTAATTTTTAATTTAATTTCTTTTTTTTTTTTTTTTTTTATTTCTTTTTGTAAATAATAATAAGAAAAAGAAAAAAAGGATATAATTAAATCAATTTATAATATTATTTCATATTCATAGAAACGAATTTTTTCGTTCTATTTCTTATTTTTATTGTTTATTTCCATAGAATATATGTGATTTTGATAAATAAAATTTGTACAAACGCATTGTCTTTCATTCGTTGAAATCACCAAACACATTTCGCTTCGTACAACAGTTTTTAGTATCCTGAAAAGAAACAAGACACCGGCAGATGGGTTGTTGGTGGTGGGTGCTTGAAAATGGGTTTGTTTTCTTTTTGTTTGTTTGTTTGTTTTTTTTTAAAGAATACGTGCCAAAAATCCGTTTTTATCAAAGCGCCAATTTTACAGATAGAAAAAAACCAAATGCAACAAATGGTTTTAAATTACAGTACATAAAATTATGCAAGTGTGATTAAAACAAAATATCCATATGCACCGAAAATTGTGATAAGAAATTAAGTAAAAAAAAAAACGAAGAAAAAATAATAACAATTGATTTAACAATTAATTCGAAAATATTAAACAATACAATTGTAATATTTCAATCAATCACGAGGAAATCAATGTTTAATATAACTTAATAACTTATTTTCGTTATTCATAATAATCGGCACATAATATAGTGATTAATAATAAATATAATAATTTATGATATGATATTAAAAAGAGGAATAATTATTAAATATTAGTTTACGCAAGTCAAAATGTTATTATACAATTTCATTACAAGTAGCAGCAGCTTTTAGCAACAGTGATCAAACACAACAACAACAACAACAACAACAACAAAGCAGTAAATTAACAATTATACAACACAAACAACACAACAACAATACAAACAACGAGAACAACATCGAGATTGTGTGTAAGAGAGAGAAAGAGAGTGAGTGAGTAAGTGAGAGAGAGAGAGAGAGAGAGAGAGAAAGAGAATAGGGTTAAATAACAGTTGGCTACAATTTAAAGCTGAGGAAAAAAAACTAAAAAAAAAAAAAAAATTAAAAAAAATAACAAAAAATAAAAAAGGGAA